GTTGGAGAAGAGGAAGGCTTAGATTCCACCATAAAGGCAGTTGTGAATAAAGTAATTAATTACGAAATAACTTACACAACCCACATTCTCTAAGACAAATTGGTGCTATGCCTAGGACTTTTTTTTATTTATATACTGCCATTGTCTAAAGAGATCTGGAAATGGGTTATAGAAACCATATGGTAGTGCGTGTAGAAGAGGAGCTTTTAAAGGCGAATTCAGCATGGCCTTCAGGATTAAGCATCCACTGTCATTTCTGAGACCTTCAGCTCCCATCTCTGCCTTCCAAAATAAATGTAGAACTTTCTAACCTGGCATTCCATAGGGAGGATGCCATAAGCCCATGTGTGTATAAATAGTGCCACACTGGCATGATTAAGGAGATAGTGATGACCTCACCAGCCTGACCCTGCATGTAGTAGCCTCACAGTGGACTCCTTAGGCAGCAAGGCTCTAATGATGGCAGGGAAATTGTACTTTGAATGTGCAACTTTATCCTACTAAATCCTTGGCCCCCAAATATCTTATGCAGCTTAGTGAGGCCTGGACCACACCTTTGTGAATATTAGAGGAATGGGTAGGAAGGCCTACTCCAGAGGAAGTGATAGCTCACCTACCCAGAGTGCATGTCAGGAGAGCCCAGGTTCTGCGCTCAAAGGACACAGAGAATATACATTGAGAATGGTGTCTCCTCGGTGTGGGTGTCACCACAGTTTTAGGGAAGGGTGACAGCAGTGGCAACATTCTGAAGATGGTATACCTATGGATCAGAAAAGAATGTGCCCCACCTCATATTCAGGTGACATAGGATGAAGGGATTCAAACAGGACTTGGCAGTGGGCAGAGCCAGGTGTGGAACCTGTGACTTGTGCTAGAGCCAGCACTCTCTTTGGGACACACCTGAATAATTCAGAAATCCTCAAAAGCCATATAGCACTGAGGTGTGAACCCACCCCAGTCCCTTTCCCTGCCCCAGGTGCTGCATAGTGCCAGTGAAGAGCCAGAGGCCACACAAGCTTGCTCCCTTGACAGGCTACTCGCCCCTTTCCGTCCTCTGACTGTGCTACGTGGTGAGTTCCAGGCCAACCTGAGCTACATAGCAAAATGAAAAAGGGGCTGAGAGTGTAGCTCAGTGGTTAAGTGCTTACTAGCCTGTGGGAAACCAGCAACATTAAAAAAATCAAGATCGCAGACCATGGACGATGCAGCAAAGGGAAGAGGAGAAATAAAAAGTGGAGGAAATAGGAGTGAGCACACGGAGTGGGGACAGGAGCTCAGAGTGCCTCTAGTTGCATGGACTTCTATGGAGAGGCCAGAAAGACAACACACAGACCCAACATTTGGAGCCAAATGTTCAGGACCCTGGCAGGTTTGGCTTCTCATTGCAGCCCTCCTGCTGGGATCCTGAGTGCACAGTTGCTCTGGGCAGCGCTCAGAGGGATCCATGTGCTCTATCTTCTGGTTTTTTGAGACAGGGTTTCTCTGTGGCTTTGAAGGCTGTCCTGGAACTAGCTTTTGTAGACCAGGCTGGTTTCAAACTGGAGAGATCCACCTGCCTCTGCCTCCCGAGTGCTGGGATTAAAGGCGTGTGCCACCACCGCCTGGCAAAATCCTGACATTTTAAAATCTATGCTGTGCTAGTTACCACAGAAAGCCAAAAAGGGAGGAGAATGAGAGAAAAAGAAAGTGGAAAGAGCAAGACAGCCAGTGTGGAGCTGCCTGATGGTAGTGGAAATACTGTCAGAGCCGCCTCTCCTCCTTATCTCCCCAAGACTTTGGTTCAACTTCTCTATTGAACTCTGTCTTAGAACCTATCTCCCTGACAGACACACAGCATGCTGCTATCACAGGGAAAAGTTTGGGATTTCAGTGAGCAGTGTTGAGGGCATGGAATAGGGGTCATGAAGGAGTTTATCCAACTTTCAGGTGAAGCAGAATTAGACTTGGACAGTCCTTAGAAGACTGGGTTGAGTATATAAGGGTAAAACCAACGAGACTGCTGACAACCCATGAAAACAGTAGCTTCACACGGCTGCCCCTGATGTTGCTAAGAAAGGGTCCTCAGAGCTGCACTTCTTGCAGGGGAGGGATGGTCCTTTTACTAGGGTTGTGCTGAACATGGCTCTGGTGCCCAGAGATGTGGAGTGCATAGCAAATAAAAGCACAGGCATGTGGGGAGTTCCCCCCCCCCTTGAATTTGTTGCTTCTTCTGGTTGCCAAGGTTTCTCAGCCTCCGCAGTCAATTCCACATACTTTGCTCTTTCATTAGCATCTTCTTCCCCCATGCCCACCCACCTCGCCTCAGCACTGGGACTTGGGTCCGCTTGACAACAGGTAATAGCAGGCGTTTCCTCGTCCTGTGACAGGACATCCTGGCGCCCCACAGTCTCTCCCTGGCTTTAAAACAGACCCAAGCACAGGAAAAAACCCAGCTCTAAAATTAGCAGTGTGATAGAAGAAAGGCACATAGCTGCTCTCTGTACTGTTTGTCAATGAAACGAGTCTAAACAGGCCAAATGCATTTCCTTTTTGGGCAAAACAGACCTTTCAGGATGATAGTCAGCTGGAAGGCGCAGAAGCTTCCCAAAGTGCCCCAGGACCACCGCCCTCGTTGATCTGGCAATTTCCACTGGTCTCCACAGAGATGGTCTAACCTCTCCAGAGGTTGTGCTGGCCTTGAAATACTCAAAGTAGGGGATGTACTAACCCCAGCACCCTTCAGGGGGCCCTGATACATCCCTTCCAAGACTGCCAAAGATAATTGAATTTCAGTTAATGGAAGTTTTCCTCACTTTGATTTTTTCAATGAGTATTTGGAAGCAATGCTATTTTCCCATGAAACAGATGCTTGCAGGAAGCCATTGTCAGTACTGCCACCAAACCCTGGCAAGTTCTGATGGCTCCAAGAAAGAGTCTCTAGGATGTTTAACGAAGAAAGGCAGCAATCGCGTTGATTATCACACTAGCTGTAGTTCCACAGTCAAGAACTATAAAATAAACAACAATGAAAGAACTATTGTTCTTTTTCTTTTTTGCCACTAAGATGTCTTTTAATTTTTTTATTTGTTATTTTTGGGAGGAGGTAGTTTAAACAGGGTCTCACCATGTAACTCTGACTGGCCTGGTACTTGCTATGTAGAACCAGGTTGGCCTTGAACTCACAGATATCTGCCTACCTCTGTCTCTAGAATGCTGGGATTAAAGACATGGATTCCTAGCAAGATATCTTTGTAAAGCTCAGCCTTCCCTATGATGTTTTCAAAACCTTCCATTTCCTTCTTGAGAGGATGGGTTCAGATGGCAGAGGCCCTCACTTCAGTGGGAAGAGCTATTCGATTTGTACTGTTGATTTGTGTCACTAGAGAGCAAAGCGAGAAACTTCTAAACATGTCCCATGTTGTACATTCAGTGGTGAAGGTGGGACGAGGACAGGACTGACCCTCAGTCACATCTGCGTGTCTCATCTCAGTGTTCCTCATATCCAGTGGGAGTCACAGAAATGACCTTGTATTGCAGCTGGTAAACTGCAGCTGGCTCAGTGAGTGACTGGCTCACATTCACATTGGTAGAGCCAGGATACAAATCCAGCTCCCCTGCCGCTGAGTCCTGGGTTCTTCCACAGCCCTTCCCATTCTCACAAGCCCCCACCCCCACCCCTTCCTGCCTCTGACTGACCATAGGGAAGTGACTTTCCCAGGACCATTCCGCCACACTATTCTTAGCATTCAGGGTAGCAGGGTTTCCTGACTCCCACCAGGCGTTCTCTAGCACATAAATACCGGTCAACCTCATTCTGGAAACTGTTTCTCAAGAAAGATAAAGGCCCAGGATCCATTATTCCTCGAATGATTCACTTCGGACTTCCTGCCATTTCCCCTGTTAGGGGTATACACTGGACACAGGAATGGCTGGCATTCTAGACGAAAAAGGAAAGGTCGCCTGAGTGTCCACACCCTGCTCCTGTGCACCTGTGGGCCCTCATTTCTGTCAGTAGACCAAATAGCTGACATCCTCAGTGAGCTGCAACAAGCTTGAACTTCACCTAGTTGTTGATGATCCTAACAGCTCTGAGCCCACAGGACGGAGCAGTGGAATCCCAAGTCACAGGGAGGTGGGTCACACTTGGACAGTTGCCATGACATCTACCACCAGCCTAAACCTTCCATAGTTCTGTGGATCATTTCTTGTGGTAATACCACTCTTATCCTTTAAAAACAGCAAATTTTCAGCCAGGCATGGCAGTGCACGCCTTTGATACCAGCACTTAGGAGGCAGGGCGGGTGAATCTCTGTGAGTTTAAGACCAGCCTCGCTTACATAACAAGTTCCAGGCCAGCCAGGTCTACGTAGTGAGATCTTGTCTCAAAGCAAGCAAGCAAACAAACAAATAACAGCAAGTTTTCTCCCACATTGTCTAATCTTGCACACAGTATCCCCAGATCACTGTGCAGGTAGGTGGCTGATGCAGTACTGTGGCAGCTCTGTTCTCTGATGACCCAATGCCATGCAAGGTCAGGTTATGGTCTGCATCTGTGTTACAGCCAAGATAGGAGATGTATGCATGTATGGGTGGGCATTTGTTGTCTACTTGGGCTGTGTATAACATGTTTACATGAGCTTGTCACTGGTCATGAGCAAGGGTGTGTGCTGAGCCCAGGTCAGGCCCCAAGAAGCCTCACTTACAACAAAACCCTGCCTTCTTCTGTGGCCGTCAACTGAGTAGGCTGGGACAGGCTGGGGCTATCTCCTACCTCTGCCCAGCCATAAGCCAGCTCTTCACCAGCTGCTTCAAATTGGCATCAGGAGCATACTGACATACAGAAGGGCAAATATGGTATAGATTCTGTAGTCTTGGAAAAGCAGAACTCCTTACTTCAGTATGCTAAAACCACCTTTAAAACAGAAATGGGTTTGACAAATAAAAAGCCTACACTGTACCTCAAGCCACGCAGGGCCCTGGGTACTCTCCCTCCATGACATCCCCCCCTCCCCGGTACTCACTTGCCAGCTGGAATGCCGCAGCCATTGCCTCCGCCCAGCACTGAGACTCTGGTGACACCAGGGGCAGGCCCGTCAGCCCAAGGACGAAGGTTAGCTGGCCCACTGCAAGTGCGGCTGTGGCCACCAGGTTGCAAGCACGCATCATGTCAAACTGCACTGTGGGCCAAAAGGAGGGAAGAAGGCAGTCAGCATGGTGAGCCGCTTAGTAGGAAAGAGCCAAGTCAGATGGCCCTGGTCACACTCATCTTCAGTGATAGCCACTCCCTTTCAAAAAGCAACACAGACAGCTAGTATCTTCTCTCAACAGAACTTTCTGGAAGCACCTCACCTCCTCTGGAGTCTTCATGCTTTCCTGTCCTCTTCCCAGCCATTTAAGGACTCCCTAGCTTGACTGCAATGGTCACACCCCACCTGGGCTGGAATGCTCCCCTGTCCTTGGAGACTCTGTGTGTGTGGTATATGCATGTATGTACACATGGTACCAGAGTGTGGTAGACTTCCAAGTATGTGCACATGAAAACCAGAGATTAACATCAAGTGTCCTGTCTATTGCTCTCTAACTTCACATTTTGAAATAGGGTCTCACTGCTTCTGTTATCTCATCATTTTACCTAGAGCGGCTGGCTACTGAACTCCTGGGATCCTCCTGTCTCTGCCTTCCCAGTGCTGGGGTTACAGGCACACTCCACTACACACAGGTTTATTATAAGTGCCGAAGATGCAAATTCTGATCTTGCACAGCCAACAGTTTACTCACTGAGCCATCACCCTATCCCCAGGCTCTGTATTATCATGGAGACTAGAAGGGAAGTCCCGTCAACAGCAGAGGGTTTCTTGCTTTGGGTGGATACTATGGGTCCTCAGCTGCTGTCCCCACTTAGCTGTCCAGATATGCAAGAACTCATCATTGGTTTGGTTTTGGTTTGGGTTTTGATTTGGGGGTTTTGGTTTTTTGTGGTAATGTTGTTTTTATTTGTTTGTTTTTGAGGCAGGGTCTCTCTACATTGCCCTGGCTGTCCTGGGAACTCACTCTGTAGACCAGACTGATCTCTAACTCACAGATCTCCGTCCTCTGCCTTTCAAGTGCTAGATTAAAGGTGTGGGGCACCAAACCCAGTTTAAAAATCAGCATTGTTACCTCTCCTTCCTATAGGCAAAAGACTTGAGCCTATAACCTTAAGTGACATTACTGGGCCTCTACCAACAAAGGACAGTGCAGGAACCAGACCTGGGTCTGCTGAACCCAGGCCCTCACCCTACATGCCTCTAAGATCCCATGTCCTTCATTCTACTAGCAGCTAGAGTGGTGCTCCAACCTTTGTACTTGCCTTCCCCATCCCCTCTACTCTCTCTATATATTTTTGTTGTTGTTGTTTGTTTGGGGTTGTTGTTGTTGTTTTGGGGATAGGGTTTCTCTATGTAGCCCTGGTTGCCCTGGAACTTGCTCTGTAGATCAGACTGGCCTTAAATTTAGAGATCCACCTGCCTCTGCCTCCTAAGTGCTGAGGTTAAAGGTGTATGCCACCATGCTCAGCTTGCCTCCCCTTCTTTTGCTCTGCCCCACACCCTGGTCTGAAGAGATGGACAAGGTAGAGTGTGGTCGATGAACTGTAGAGGGAGAAGGCATCTGCTCCAGAATTTTGTTCCTCCCTCGAAATTAAATGTCACACCAAAGCCCATACTGTGAGATGGTAGCACACAAGCACGCTGACTTTATAGGCCCAGGTTGCTCCCAAGAGCAACAGCAAACATATCACTGGACACTGCTAGGAAGCAGTGAATGCACATAGGAGGAGTGTCCAGCCCAGCCTTGTGTTCTTTGTCTTGTGGTCTAGCAGTGATTAGGGAATTCTGATCTACAAACTTGTTGCAGATCAGTGTTCACCTCAAAGCAGGCCTCGAAGAATGGAGGTGCTGTTGTCCCCAATTTTGAAAGACTGATTTTCAGAATTGGGTCACAATAAATGTTATCATCAGAAACACAAGAACTGAACATGAAAGACCTTCTGAGATCCCTGAAGAACCTGTACTCCAGGATTACTGTTGTATTGTCTGTCTGCCTCTGTGGGCAAGGAAGGCATAGAGTCTGGCCATCTCATGCACAAGATGAGTGGCCTCTTTTGTGTGAACCAGCAAGTAAGGCCCTGCTTTTAAAGACCTATAGATCCTCTGTCCCACTGAGAGGCAACCCAAGGCCACTTCACCTCAGTGGGCTTTTAAATAGCCAGAAGGTAACTTTGAACCATTGCCACCAATATTGACAATTCTGTTTGGTTTGACCTAAGTGTTTATTGAAATGCAATATAGATTTACCAAATAGCTCAGAGCTCTCAGGCTCGGTGTCTACCTGTCCTCTCAGCTCATGTGGGTTCTGTATCTGGGCACATAGTGAGCACTTCTGCTAGGACTATGGGCACCTCACTGTCACTCTCCGCCATCCAACCCATTCCCAAAGCCCCACCCTCGCAGGTTCCCCTCACTGCACAGCAAAGCCAGAGTCTCAAGTCTCCTGATTCTTCCCTGCCTCTAATGACCCAACCTAGTAGGTGACTATGTAGAATAGGGTAGAGCCTATGAGAACACATAGATAGGCCTGGAGGTTAGAATTCATAGGCTTCAGAAGTCTTGTCCAAATACCCAGAGACCTCTGTGCACTTTTCTGTTCTTGGAAACTGACTTTGTCCAGCAGTCAACATTCTTACAGGTGAAGGGTTAAAGTGTCTTGGGCAACCCTGGATGAGAAACATCTTATCTACATGCTGGGCCAATAAGCATGTGGGATGGTGCGAAGAACTTACTTAAAACCCCGTACTGGCAACCATGAAGTGAGGTCCCTTTTCCTTCAGTCCTTTCTCAGACCATGATGGCAATTCGAGAGAAGCCATCTTAACACATGGACTGAGCATAGACTTGGAGTGCTGTGACATGTGACTGCCATTCCGCCTAGGGCCCTGTGTGCACACTCCATCTTCATGCTGGATGGTGTCTGATTCCAGCTCCTTTCAGGGTCATGTTTGTATTTAGGCTATGGAGTCACACGGCGTCATCCAGGGGTTTTGTGCCACTTCCTGCCACCAAGGGTCAGTCTGTCCTGACCATTGTGTTTTAAGCTACTTCCTGTGCAGAGAACTCAACTGTCATTTAGAACTTGGGGGCCTCTTCTAGGTCTCAAGCCTTTCTAGCTTGCCACCTCCAATGTGGGCACAGCACAAGCAGGTGTAAACGCAGCGAACCTTGTGTACCGTGTGCATGAAGAGTTGCATAGATGTACAAGATCTTACCGGGCAATCCAAACAGCCCATGCATCTGCTGTCCCACCAGCCCGAGGTGCCGCTAGACCAATGGCAGTTGCCACTCACTGGATCCTTCTTTCCACACTGGGAATCCAAGCAATTGCTTCTCCCCTGCATTACTCACAGCAAAGCCACCAGCCACCAGTGGGCCCTGCCTCTGGTGACTGAAGACTCAGAGTAATCATCAACCAGAACGCAGATCCCCGAAGACCCTAATGCAGCTGGGTGATGCTTCAGGGGCGGGCATAAGGTAGGGTCTGGCGAGATTGACCAGCAGGTGAAACACTGGCCACAAAAGCCTGACAACCTGAATTTGATTCCCAGAACCTACATAAAGGTGGAAGAAGAGAACCAACTCAAAAAAGCTTGACTCTGACCTGCAGACAGGCACCATGGCATGCGTGTGTCTGCACACACTGCATGAGTGTACATGCTAATAAAAATAAACCTAAGAAGAGGGAACTGGGATTGATATGTAAAATAAGATTGTTTCTAATTTAAATTTTAAAAAGTTAAAAAAAATAAACCTAAGTTATTTAATAAAAGAGCAAGAGATGAACTAGGGTCTGGCAGTCTTGGGGGGGGGCAGTTTTGAGACAGGGTTTCTCTGTGTAACAGTCCTAGCTGTCCTAGAACTAGATCTGTTGACCAGAGATCGACAGTACATCACAGAGATCCACTTGCCTCTGCCTCCCAAGTGCTGGGACTAAAGGGATGCGCCAACACTGCCTAGCAGGTCTGGTCGTCTTAAGACTCCTGATAGGAAACAGTCGGTCAGGCATGTCCCTCAAGGTATAGGCAAAGCTTAAAATAGACGTGTGTGATCTTGGACTCTAGAAAGATGAGGAGGTAGGAAATGTGCCTTGTGCAGAATGGTTTGATTTTTTTGAGGCCCAGGGAGTGTGGTTTCAGGGTCTAATGGCTCTGACCTCCCACAGCAGGGTAAGACTTTGTAACAGGCAGGTAGTGGCTGGGGTTCAGTGGCCACCTCTTTTGATTTGCTGACTGCACCTCCCTCCTTTACAGATAGCCTGATAATGACCACACACTGCAGGGGGCTCAGCCCCATTCTGTGTGCTCTTGCAGGATGCCCTGTCCACTTGGCAGGCTCTGCACTCCAGAAGGCTCCCTCTGTAATCTGGAAAAGCATTCCTGACAACCTATACCAGCCTCATTCTTCATAATGCTCTGCCATCTGTACACTGGGCTTTTTGGTGTTGTTGATTTATTTTGTGTGCATGTGTGTATGTACCTATATGTATGGGGTGTGCACATGTTCACACATGTGTTGGGGCATGTGAGTGTGGGTGCAATTGTATTTGTATGTACATGTGTATGGAGACCAGAGGTTGACATGGGGCATCTTCCTTGGTCACTTTCCAGCTTATATACTGAGGTGTCTTCACTTGGACCAGGAGCTCATGTGATCTCCAATTTACTCCCCTGTCTCTGCACCCTGGGCATTTGAATTAGAGGTGGGCCATGACATCCGCCTGGTATTCTCATGGGTTCTGGAACTGAACTCTGGTCTCTGTGCCTTCACCTTCACAGTCAGCACTTCGCCCTCAGGCCTGCTCCCTAACTGTTGTGTGGTTATTTTTACCCTATATATCAGGGCTTCTTTTTTAATTTATTATTTTATTATACAGGTATCTGCCTGCATGTATATCTGTGCACAGTGTATGTGCCTAGTACCCACAGAGACCAGAAGAGAGCATGGGAGTCTCCTGGTACTGAGTTAAAGGTGGTGTGAGCCACCATGTGGATCTGGGAGTCAACCCCAGGTCGTCCCCGGGAAGCATGTGCTCTTAACTACTGAGCACTTCCCCACCCCAAAGGGCTTCTCCCACTCACAAGCTCTGT